CCGGCAGGGGAGGGTCAGCCAGGCCCAGGGGCCCCCCCTGGACCCCCCCTTGCCCCCCCCCCCCACAGCCTCCCGGCCCCCGGATACCTGTAAAGCATCTCGGCGTTGGGCAGGAACTGCTCGATAGGGGCCGTGCGCAGCAGACGGAAGCTGAGCACGGGTGGCGCCAGGTTCCCGCTGAAGACGCGGACGATCCCGGCGGGGAAGGACATGGTGAGCTCCCCCGTGACCTTCACCAGGCAGCTGCAGGCGAGAGGAGTCCGTGTCTGCCGGGGCCACGCCGCGCCTGCAGCCCCCTGGCGCTGCCCAAGGCTTGGGGGCTGCCCAATGGCACCCACCTGCCTCTTACCTGTCGGGGTCCCGACCCTTGAAGTAGGCATGGATGTACTCGGTGAAGGCAGTGGCCACGGGCAGCGCGTCCTGGGAGCCCAGCACCACAGGGCTGGGGCCGCGGGAAAGCCCTGGGGTGGAGCAGGGGTGCTGATCAGATCTCAGCCACGCGCCCCCTGACCCTGCTCAGGCCGACATGACCCCCCGCCACGCAGGGACCACATCCCCCCAGCCCCGTACGTACCGAGGGCAGGCTGCATGGCCGTGAAGAAGCCCCTCTCGCCCAGGCTGGCTGGCGCGGAGTGAGACGGGCCACAGCTCCACAGTGGGGACGGGCTCAGGGAGCGGGACTGCAAGACATGTGCATGGAGGGTGGGCATGGGGGGCTGGCCCCACCCCGGGCAAGGAGAGCACCCGGAGCGGACCCAGATCCCCGGTTCTGCTGGGCTGGTCTAGCATCACCCACTGCGTGCCTCAGTTTCCCCCTCCGGAGCCTGCCAGGGGAGAGGCCCTGAGTGCCCATCAGCCCACTGAGATGATCCAAGGATCCCTGATGTGACCCCACCTGCTGGGCCCTGCTCCCTAACGCCAGCACGCTGCTGGGGCCCCCAGTTGGGATCGAACCAGTAACCCCCAATACGGAGCCTCCAGCCTCTCCTGCCTTTGCCTGGGGCCGCAGCTGGCTCATTAACCAGACCACGGGACTCGGGCCCCCGCCACTGCTCATGCCATGCGTGGGGCAGGGGCACCCACCAGGTCACTGTTGCTGCCGAGAGTCTGCCCAGCCGACGGCCTCTTGGTCCGGACTCGCCGAGGGGGGGCCACCACCGGGACATCCTTGGGGGCAGTGCAGGGCTGGGTGGGGGCACGGGGAGGGTCTGTGAAGAGGAGGCCGGAGTTGGAGGGAGAGCGCACAGGGACCCCAGGGCCCGGGTCTAGGGGGGCTGCAGGGCGACGTCTTGCTCCTCTAACCTCTGCAGGGACCAGCTCAATACCAGTTGCCCCCAGCCCTCTACCCCATGCCCGCACTCACCAGCGTGGGCCGAAGGCTCGGGCGCTGCTGGCACGGTGCCATCGCACAGCCGGATGCCCGGCGCCGGGCGAGGCCACGGGCAGGGGCTGACGGACTCCCTGCCGCTGGCAGGGGCCGGGGAGGGTGAGGAGGAGGACGACGAGGCC